CTGGAGAAAATAGGGCCAAAGTTCAGACTCTATCATTAAATTCTCTCTGCTTTTTCTCATAGTAGCTTCATCTGGTCTGTTCCTGTTTGGCTGTGACTCCATCCTGGAGAGAAATATCAGCTGTGCTGCTGCCATCAACACCTTTGAACATTTAGTCAGATTGGATGATATGATAGGAAAGTGACCTGAGATAACATGTGTTGTTAATTACAGCTATAGAAAAAACAGAATTTAATTGAATTGCTAAAAAAAAGCATTTCATTTCCAATAGACCTAATTGGATTCAATCTAAAGTATGGGATCCTATATTTTTTTTATTAAACATCCTGTTTTTTCTCCCACTAAGGCCTTGCCAGGGTCTCCGGCAGTCTACAGGTGAGAGGCGGGATACACAATGAACAGGTCGCTAGTCTGTCGCATTGACAGCCATTCACGCACACACTCACGCCTAAGGAGAGTTTATAGAAGCCAATTAACCCAACAGTGATGTTTTTTGACTGTGGGAGGAAGCCTAAGTACCCAGAGAGAACCCACGTTTGCATAGCGTGGGTTCTCGTGGGTAGCGCAAACTCCAGGAATCGAACCCAGAACCTTCTTGCTGCAAGGCAACGGTGCTACAAACTACACCCCTGTTCAGCCCCTAAAGTTTGTCAAACAAAAAACAAAAAAAATAAAACCCTTGGCTGTGTTTAAAGAGGCATTACTGAATTTTATGATGACATATCATTAGAAAATTCTGCCACTTCTGGCAAAAGTGCACAACTGCAGTCTCTTCTGCTCGTTCTCATAGCTCACTTTTTTCTCAACAAGGTTTTGTTTGTTTTAACATTTTTTCAAATTACATGGAGTTGTCATTAGTGTCTGACTTGGATGCTGGTCGCTTCTTAGTATCAAAAAATCCATCTTTAATATTAACCTTTGATTGTTTGCAAGGTCGGACCCATTTAACACGGACGTGCTCTGTAGTCCAGTTGTAAAAAAAAAAAAGAAGGGGGATTGTGGCATACATAGCCTAATTAATAAAGTCTATTTATCTAAAGCAATATGCATGGTATGGTTGTTGCATGTCAGGTACGACGATTATTGACCTTGACCACGGTACCTTACAGTAGAACTGCAGTCAGTCCCTGGACTGGCATGGCAATCACTGCTCCTATACAGTTAGGGAAAAACACAGAGGACAATTCTCCACTGGGATCAGCTTCACAGTCATGCTAGGCCACTTATTTGATTTTATTTATTTTGCTGAGGCTTAAGGGTGTAAATAATAATCGTTTTGTATCGATCCAACAGCCGACAATCCGATGCATCGACACGTCCGCAAGAGAATCGATTCATTTTATATATTATCCATTTTCTCCTGGGCGTAATTCTGACTCCCGTGCTGCGGTGGCGCTAAACCTACTTTGCCCTCTTACCTCGCTTCCTGGCTATACTCTTGCAGCAGTGTGGTGCAGTAAGTAAAATTTTTGATTTATGCTCAATATGGTGGTGGTCTGCGCTATACGCTGTGGGTCTAGATACGGCCGATGCGGAGAGGAAGTGGGGGCGAGTTTGTCCGACAACGGAGGGACATGACGGCGAAAAAGAGCGGTGATCCAGGTGGAAAAAGGGTCTCAGCGTTCTCGCGCACCTCGCTCTTCTAGCTGGTCCAACTTCACAAGTTGGACCAGGAACTTATGACCTCAAATAAATGACGGAAAATAGGCTACAAATCTTGATAGATGCATCAACGATTAACTATCGAGCCTGATCATCAAACTACAGGGTAAAATAAAAAGATTAGTTTAATAAAAACTTAGATAAGTCTCCTAAAATTAGACAAACAAAGACCAATAAGTAGGAATTATTGGTTCACTGGTCTCACACCCATGATAAACAGTTCTAATTCCAGTAGACCTGAGGTCCCCACAAGCCCGTCTGCTAATTTATATGTGATGAGTCAGTGGGAGCCCTTCTTCATCTGGATAATGTAACAGTGAAAAACAAGACTGCTTCTTTCTGGCAAGCACACTTTGTTTCGTCCTTCACAGAGGACACACAGGCAGGCGGGGCTCTGCTCGGTGTGCACCAGAACCGACTGGAGATGATCAGGAGACAAACGGATGAGCAAACACTGGCCTTAAGAAGTCAACTGTCCATATAATCCATATAACTACAATCCAGTGAATATGTATAATACTTGCAGCTGTGCCCTGCTGGACAGCTAGCACAAAGATGATATTACACTTCCATATTTGATTGTCTGAAAATCACTAGTCATAAAAAAACTCAATAGTCATCATGTGAAAAGTTTAATAGCACCACTGGTGACTCGATTCAGTGAAGTCTAGAACTGAGTGTAGAGCAGCTACCAGAGCATATAATCTGACTGAGTGAGCAGCTCATGTCAGGCCTGTGTTACTTTTTCAGCAGCATTCTAAGCCATCAAAACATGATTATGCCTGCATGTTTATGCAATCTGTTTAAATCACTGCAGTTTATTTCTGTAGCGCCATTTCACAACACATGGCAAATCAGGTCCCTTTATAGATCCAGTTCAACCAGATCATCAGTCAGATTGGTTTCGTCTATGGAAAACCATCTGACTCTTAATCTAGGGCTAGGTTCACACACAGCAGCCTGAAGTGACCAAAATCAGATTATGTTGTCCATATGCGACTTGTATATGATCTTTTCATGATACTCTGAACAACACAGATCCCATTTTTTCCAATGCGACCCAGGCCACTCAGCTATGTGGTCCTGATTCCGATACCTGTGTCTGAACAGCCTGGTCACATTCATCTGAATTGTACGCTACTAATACTATTCTGCGTCTTGTTGCGCAGAAGCGGCAAGAAAAACAACAAACATGGCGGACGATGATGCGGAAAGCAGCATTTATATTGAAAAGATTGCTGGATACGCTCTGGCATCCATGTTTACTTCCATAAAACAGCGCAAGCTGGCTTGTGACGTAATTACGTCCTCTACTGCGCATGCGGAATACTTGCATTGTATGAACACAGTTAATACAGGAGATCACATACAAGTTGCATATATTTGGAAATGTGAACAGCAACACAAAAAAATCGGGTTTCACAAAAAAATTGTAATTGAGCATTAAGGCCTGTAGTATGAACTTAGCCTAGATCTCAATAAATATCTGTTAGAACATAATGATTGGTTCCCCTGGTGATGTCTGATGTTCACCAGGTTAAATTTCAATGACTGGATGAAAACCTTAACCTTATGCCTTTAGGACCGTATGTCCAACAACCAGATGTTGGGTCCCAGGTGCCCTGCTCTGCATCAAACACACCTTCCTTCTCAGATAAGACGGTCATCTCTGTGTTGGAAGAGCAGGGAGAGTCTTTGGAGAAGTTCAATTTCTTAAGCCCTGTTATCAAGCTTCTATTGAGCTCTTTCATCGTTTTATTTTTCAGTGCTTCCCTGGGAAAGTAGGAATGCCAGTTGAACACAGATAAGTGGAGCCACTGATACTGCTAAGGGATGCCTCATCTGACACACAGTATTACTCATGCAGTACTGCTGCACTCAGACTCACCAAATAAGTCCTGCACATATGAAAATACAGCAGAGTGTTGCAGGAATGTCAGTAAACTCTGAAACCAATTTAAAGGCTTCCTGTGTCAACGGCCATCACTGTTACCTTTTCAATACTGATGCATAATGACCAACAACCACAGGACAAAAGCTCAGTAATGTCTGGTGCCTTTGTATGTTTTCAGATGCTGCAAACACCTGAATCGCCCACAAACCTTTTTAACTGTGCAGTATCTCATTAAAGAGCACCAGACCCGCTGTTTTATGATCCACAAAGCCCTGATTGAAAACAGTCCACAGCTTTCTTCTGAACCCGCTTCTAAAGAGGAGGAGAAGTGATGCAGATGAAACATGCTGTCTGAACCAAACTAAAGGCATTTACCTTAAAAACAAACATCTCTCCACGCAGCATAGCAACAGTGTCGAAGTTCCCTTCACAGATGTTGGGCCCGTAGTGATCGGGTCTGTCGGTGGTTCTGGGCCGGTCGGGATGTCGGGGGGGAGTCTGAGGTGGTCTGGGCTCCGGGCGACGAGCTGGCATAGTGGGCAGGGCCTGAGTGGGGCCGCTGTCAGGCTGACCTGTGGAGAGTTCACAGAGATGAGCATCAGGTCTGTTCATTGAATCAGAGATCACAGCTTAGACTTTTTTTTAGTTTTTATTGAAAGTGATAAAAATATAGAGAAACACTTACATTGCTTCTTTTTCTCTAACACAGAACAGATAACACCACCTCCCTCTCCCCACCCTCAACACACCCTGACTGAACCTGAATAGTTATATAAATACAAGTCAAATAACAAGTATAGGCTTGCACAGAAAAAAATTTAAGTCAGATCAAGTCTGAAGCCATGTCTAGCTACAGCCTAAATTCTGTGGGGTTGGCTACTCCAGTATACTACCAAATACAGTCATTGATTAAGGCATGCTACTTTGGTAATTATCAAGTCCATTAAAATATGAGATTAAAGGTCCCCACACTGACAGAAACTTGTCAGAACCTATTATGGTGAATTTGATTTTCTCCAAGTGCCAGAACATCATCACATCTTGCAGCCACCATGCTGCAGTCGGTGGAGGGTTTCATTTCCAATAGACAAACTTTTATTGTCATTTTGTACACACAGTGTATACAAAGTGAAATTGGTTCAGTACAGCTCTCAAGACATTTCCATTTCTTAAAGTGCAGCAATGATAAAATGTAAACATGGTGATCAAAAGTTAACATAAGACTGAGATCTGATTTACAGTTTATTCAACAGTCTAATGGCAGTCGGTAAGAAGCTGTTGTTGTATCTGCTGGTCCTGCATCGAATGCTGTGAAGCCTCTTCCCAGAGGGCTTCAGGGAGAACAGTCCATGGCGGGGGGGTGAGGGGTCATTGATGACATTACGGGCCCTGGACACATAGCGCTGGGATGAAATGTCTGAAACCTCTTTGGTGGTTCTCTAAGAATAGGACGACTGCTACAACTTTCTCATAAAGTGATTTTTTTTGGTTTAGAGTGGTGAAGAAAAAAAATGTTTACTAGGATAATTAGTCCATAAATAATAATTTAATGGGTCCAAACTGTTTAAATATTTCTGGTTACTATGCCAACGTCAAGGTTGAGGGACTCTACAGCAATGTGAATCAGGCCGCTGAGACGGAGGAAAGGTTTCTGCTCAGCACTTTATTTCTCAGAGGATTTTTATATATATGTTCATATATTCTTGTGCTGCTTCAAAGGTGTCAATAAGATGAGCAGATTTGGCTGCTGATACAGACACTCATAAGGTTCAGAATTGGTCGTGGTCTTAGGCGGACACGCCTTAGGAACAATCTTCAGAGTCATCTAGCAATCTTCAATACTCCTTTCCCATTGGCTGAAAAACCTGTTTAAACTCGAGGAGAATCGGCTTTTAGCGGCAGTGGGAACAGCTCATCGACGTGTGTCTACCCGGGGCAACGACTCAGAAAGCCACCAAAGTTAAGCCGGGCATACGCTGTACAAAATGTAGAAATGTTTAAAGGGAGCATCGCTTATATAAAGTATTTAGCAGCTGCTGTGGTTTATCTCCAGTAATATTGGAGATGTTAAACATCCTTATCAGCAGAAAGCATCAGCGGCTTTGACTGAGTTATAATGTAGTTTAAACCAAATAGATGATGAAGTAAAAACGTCAGACTATAAAGAGAAAACAAATATTTTAATCTATTACCATAGATCTGCTGGATGCCGAGTCGATCGTCGTCAGGCAGCTCAAAGTTCTCTGTCTCCATCCACTGATAAAAGGGAGCCATGATGGCCATGGGGTTACTGGAGTGCTCTAAGCCCAGGGCGTGTCCCAGTTCATGGACTGCCACCAGGAAGAGGTCGTTACCTGGATCAACACAAAACAAGTGTCATCAAAGAACTGAATCATCATACACTGAAAGGAAAACCTCTGGGTTTTTTACAAACACCTTCACTCATAGATATCCATAATAAAGGCTAGATGTCTTACGGCGGAGTTTCAAACGTCATCACCGGCGGCCATCTTACCTAAGGCAGGCTTTCTGTTGTGCTCTGTGGTACCTAATGTAAGGTGAGTGATCAGCAC